ACTACTGTGCCGACATCGTCTATTTTATCCCGTAGTACCGTCGGGACATTCCGATCAACCTCGCCGCTATGATTGATTGATCGCGACTGCGACTTTTGAACCAAGGAACTCGGTTCTGCTCATCTGGCACCCCCGCACATCGTCGAGCCCGTCGGTGTCTGTCGATGACGCGAGCCCTTCTCAATTCTCTACTTCTGGCATGACGCATCCCTCGTCCTGACCCCGAAAATGTCGCGGGATCCATGCCAGGACTCATCCGCACTCGTCACGGACCATGCCCCTTGTTCATATCGGATCCTTCTAGCCACAAAGGATTGTATGGCATCTCCGTTCATGGTGTAATTTAGCTTGCTTTGTACACCGGGATAATTCCTGGAAACCGGCGTTCGTTATTCGGACGGTGCCGTGTAATGCTACATACCTACCTACCTACCTACCTGGTAAGTACTCATCTCTCAACGGCCGTTCACAATCATCCCTCGGAAGTAATTATCGAGATCATTTCGGTGTATGCCGTCCTATTTTAGGTCCGCGTGGGCATCGTCCCAGGCATCCTAGGGAGTCTTGCGCCGCATCGCCCTACATTATACGTACCACCTGTCACATACGTATCCCGGGTTCCCATCGCATTTTTTGATGGAGGTATCCCACTCCATCCTCTCCTTCAAATTAACATCTTCGCCTTCAAATTAATGTCCAAAGCCTCGTCATCGAATCGGACCGGAAGGCTCAGGCTCAGGTTCACGTGCGCACCACGTTACATTTTACCGCTCAGTACTACCTCTATCGCCGCAGACGCGGCTTGGCGTCCTCGGGCGTTCCCTTGCGAGAAGAGCGGTCCGCGATACCTATCACGGAAGAACTTCCCAGACATTAATTATCACGCGAGACCTTCCAGAAACTTGTCGCCCGACAACTCTGACTATCACCTCCAAATCACCCGACCACCCGACCACCTGGCCATGGTGCAGATTCGTAGATTCGTCGCTATCCAAAGCTCACACCGAGCGACTCGTCCGTTCCGCTAATCCGACATTTATTTTTACACAGTTTGAAATTGAGCATTCATCCTACCTGAAATCAGACATAATAACTCGGACGTAGTACACGGTGTACACGGCGCACACCCCCCATGATTCAACTTTGGCCTTTGGTGCGAGCGGGAAGCCCGGGTTCGACTCCCGGCGTCCGAATACCAGCCTGAGAACGTTGCTTTTTTAACTGCATTTCGTTTCCCTCCACGTCATCGCTGATTGAATAAAATCCTTTTGCAACTGGCGCCCTCCCGCGAGACATTGAACATTTCAAGGGTCTTCGTTCAGTACTCTTTTTTTCAGTCCTAGGCGAATTTCTTTCTTTTCTCATGTTGGACTTCATACTCCCAATCTTATTGTAGGAGGTTCAACATCTCCAATATTGTTCCAACATTTGAAGATTTCGGGGCACGTATGTGCATTTTCTGCTGGAGTGCGCTAAGCCCGGGTTCGACTTCCGGCGTCCGGCGTCCAAATTGCTTGGTTAACAAGAGTTTTTGTCAGTCGGCAGCGAATTTCTTTCTTTTCGCGTGTTCACGTTGGACTTGATACTCACAATAACTACATTCGGGGAGGTTTAACATTTCAGAGTCTTATTTTAGGTTCAACATTTCAGGTACGAGAAATTCAACCGTGTTCTCTGCTGGTCCCCGCTCGATTCTCTCATACTGATCCGGTTTCATATTGGGCATAGGAATTCGGACATGGTGCACGACGCACACCCGCTTGGCTTGCACTTGAAATAGTAAGCGTGAGAAGGCGGGAATCCCGGTGTCCGAATAAGAATGGTGCAATTACAGCCTTTTTATTCATTTGAATGGGACCTCGTGTGTGGAATCTGCGCTTAGTGTTGGATTTATTCGTAATCCTATACATGAAAAGACAGTTGGCACTGCCACCAAAAATCACCTGATATTGTCACGTGTTTTGCACGTGGAAACTCGGAATTAGCCGTGTGCGGGCGAACCCCCCAAACGCATAATCCGCCGTGTCTGCGAGGAGCACATAATCCACCGTGTCTGCGGCGAGCTTCCGTGACGAAGGCACGGGTCGCAAACTTGTCTTATTCAAAACGTAGGAGGTTCATGCACATGACTGTCAGACCTTGAAGATTTCAGGCTGCCTAAAGTTCAATTCTGTACTCGGCGGGATTGTGCTGAAGATTCCCTGTGATTTCAACACGTGCACACGAGATCTGAGAACTCGGACGTAGTGGCGCTCCTCGTATTAGGGTGGTCTTCTCTGTGCGGCGGGAAACCCGGGTTCGACTCCCGGCGTCCGACCTAAATTGAAGATCTGTCGGCCTATTTATCTTAGCTTTTGCTTTTCTCGAGTCCTGCTAATCTTGGGTGGCGAATTTTTAGATTGCTCTCCGTGCCCGCTGAAGATGGCCAAGGCAGCTTCGGGTTCCGTCTGTCCCCGACTAAGTCACTAAGGACTAGATTTCCGCATGCAGCTGTCGGATCGATTCGGCGATCAATTTCTGTTGTTCCGCTCTTCCACTGCTCATTGACTGCTCATTTATCGCCGACGCACTCCTCCGTTCCATCTGTCTCAGTTCAACGCATCGCTTGCATCTGCATCGAATAACAACGAGTTCCTTTGCCAAATTAAAGAAGAAAGTAATGTATGACACGTATGCTCGGATTGTGTGTTGGCGCAAGCGTTCGTCTGTTCCAATCTGCAGAATTTCTTTGAAATAGATGAAAGAAGAAGACGGAACATGACTACAACAAGGAAGCGTACATGCGGCACCTCGAGACGCAGAACTGCATCGCAAATTGAAACTGGGCACACCCGATAAACCATGCGCCCCAGGCCGACCCCTTCGCCCCTTCGCCCCGCCAGCGCACCCACCCCCTTGCCCCGGCGCCTCAGCACGCGCGATTTCCTTCGACTCCCGCCACCGCTACCGCTCCCCGCCACCGCCCGTCCCTGCGCCGCGCCCGGTCCCACCACGCTTGCACACCGCGCCCCCAAGAGGCGACGTTTACACGGCGTCCAGGGTGCACCCCATTCTACCTGGCGCCGCCGCAGCCCCAGCCCTATCACCCCCAGCCGCCCGCAGGCTACTTCGCCGCGCCCCCGCCCCCGCCCCCACCGCCACAGCACCGCCGCATGCGCTCGAGCTCGCAGGCCCCTGCGCCCGTGCGTCCCTAACACACGCGCAGCTACTCGTACTCCCAGCTTCCCCCGCTGCAGTACGTGTACCCACAGTCCGGCTACGGCGGACAGCCGGTGTACCCGAATACCAAGGCCACCTCGCCCGTCTATGCACAGCCGCCGCCGGTGCAGATGTTCAAGCCGTCGCCCGTGTACGCGTAGCCCGCGCCGCAGCGTGAAGTCCCGCTGCTGCGGCGCGTCCTTGGGTTCAGCTTCGGTGGAGGGGGGAAAGATAGCAAGAATGGGAGCCGGGAGAGCAGTAGGACGCGGGATGGGCGGGATTCGAGAGACCGGAGTCGCGAGAGCAGTCGGACGCGGGAGGTCATTGGGAAGGAGCGGAGGCCGAGGAGGGGGGATTCGTATTGAGGGCGCGCCGCGTACGTCTTTGTTGCACCCCCTTTCATTCTACCGCGCGCTTCGCACCTCCACCTTCTCCACTTCTCTCTCCCCTGTACGTGGCACCTCCTCCACGCCCCGCTACTGCGCCACATCCGCTCCCACCCGCACACGTACGTACACAAAACACCCTATAATCACCACCTACATTCCCGCTGTATTATATATCCTATCCACCTCCATTCCGACATCCTGGTGTTTGTCGGTTCTGACGTTGGCCTCCAATGTGTCCTGAGTTCGTCTGCGGAGGTGGGTCTGTCATTCGACGTGTGTTGTCTTTTTGTCCTTTAGTTCGTCCGAGGAGTTCGGTCATCCGGCCTCGGTCCCTCGGACTCTTACTTCGCGTCTCGTACGCGGCTTGTCTAAGTCGTCGTTTTCAGTGCATCCTATTTCTCTCTGTGTTGCATCTTCTCTCTCTATGTTGCGTCTTCTCTCAACAATTCACAGTCGTTAATTTCCTGCCCCTTTCCTTCATTCCCAATTCACCCCACCTATCTAGGTACACATTCCCTATAGACACTCGGACGTGGTGCGCGGGGCACACCCGCTTTCTCTACTTGAAGACAGAGTATACGCTGTGGGAAGCCCGGGTTCGACTCCCGGCGTCCGAATGAATCTGGAGACCCGGGAATCTTTTGTTAGTCGGATGGGGATTTCATTTTTGTGCGAGTTGGATTTGGACTCTTAGTTATCTTATTGGGAGATTCACTTTGGGAGGTCCAACATTTGAGTATTTCGGGGTACAGATATGCATTCTCTGTTGGGTTGTCCCGACGGTTCTATCTTACTTACCAAGGTACACTTTAGGTATAGGAACTCGGACGTGGTGCACGGCGCACACCCGCTTTCTATGTTGAACGGAAATACATGGTGTGTGGGAAGCCCGGGTTCGACTCCCGACGTCCGAATATCTCTTAAACAATCTCTTTTTAAAAACCTGTCGTTTCATTTTCCCTCGAGGTGAATCACATTTCTTCCAGGCCTAGCAGTGCAGACGACGAGAATCCTGTGTTTTTAGACAACAGGACTCCTGTGTTTTTGGGGCTGGGTTTCAGAGCTTGGACGAGGATCAACAAGAGGTCTTGTTTCCTTCCTCCCGGTGCATATTTATCACAGCGACTCGGACGTGATGCATGCTGCTTATTCTGTTGTAGTAAATCTAGTACGCGGGGAGCCCGGGTTCGACTCCCGGCGTCCGAATTATTCTTCAATTGGTGCTCTTTTTTTTCAGGCGGCCGAGAATTATGTCTAGTTTTGTGTTGGAGAAGGAGGAAGGATATTGTTTTGGGAGGTTCGACAGTATTTGGGGTTCAACATTTCAGGATACGTGACACTCGATCCCATGCATTCTCTGCTTGAGCATACTGACGATTCTCGCATAAAGTGGTGCACATTGGGTATAGGAACTTGGACGTGGTGTATGGCGCACACTCGCCTTCTGTGTCGCCAATGTCAAATTGATGTGCAGGAAGCCCGGGTTCGACTCCCGGCGTCCGAATACCGGCGTGAGAACATTGCTTTTTTAACTGCGTTTCGTTTCCCTCTGTTGGGATGGAGGTATTAGTCATCACTACTTATATGTACTCGCCCCTGTCGTGTTACCGATAAGGACTCTTACTCTTGCTCCACGACTATCTCTTCACACCCTCCATGTCCTCGCTGATTGAATAAAATCCTGTTGCAACTGGCGCTCCCGCTGGAGGCGTAGTCCCAGGTCGGAAGGGCAGGAGGTCGGCGTCGGCTCGGTGAGACCAGGCAGAGGCTGTGGAATCGGGCTGCGAGAGGCTGCGAGACGGTAAAGACCAAGAGATGATGATGTTTGGCAGTGATCTACGACAAACAACGGCTACGATCCCGATGGGGAAGTGCAGGATGCACTGCCACACCGCGAGACATTGAACATTCCAAGGTGACCTTCAATTCTTATTTTCTCTAAGAATGCTGAGTTTCGACAGTATTAATTGCGGCGGGAACGCCCATTTTTTGCTGGCGTTTATTTTTTTCCTTGTGGTCTACCCGTAGGCAGGTGTATGGCTGTAATAGTGTCTCATAATTATTTGGTGCACCGCGGGACATCTTTTCACCTATTATTACCCACCTTACCATGTCTCGACAAGAAATTACACCGCTCTATTAAAGTCCATGGTTTTTTGACTCAGCTACGCCGCTACACCATTTAAATACCCAGGTCCATCCGAATGGAAAAATACACCACCCGTAACAGCGAAAAAAAGTGCACAGGTCCAATGTTAATAATTTTCACGACCCGAATTGGAACAAAATTAAAGTCACACCCTTGAAACCCATTTTTCTTCACTGCTAACATGCCCGCAAAATAACTCACAGGTGCCAAGTACCAAACACAAAAAAAAACACCACCAAGCTGCTTTGGTCCTCATATTGCAGGACTGCCACCAGGAAGGCCAGAAACACATAAATGGCCCTCGGGCGGAGTTTACCACCTGATGCGGTACATTTTGCGTCTCATCCACTAGCAATATGAGTTCCCTCGACACTAAACATGAGGAATAAGTCAATTCAAAGTTCTAACCCCACGAAGGGCCAAGTTAGATACTTGAATAAATTTCCCTGAGATTCTCAAGGTGGTCAAAGGCAATACTGGTTGCATGACAGCCCACCCACACAAATTCCGTTGAACTCAAGTTGCATTTGTGGTGAAAACACTGGACACGATTGGTGAACTTGAACCCTGAAACTGCTCATTCAAGTTCGAGTCGTAGGGAAGATCTATGAAGAATTCTGGGAGCACTGAACCAAACAGTGTAACTGGACATAGAAAATGTTCCACAATGAGATACCTCCAGGAAAGAACACAATAAACTCAATGTGCATTCAAAGTCAAACTTGAACATCCTCAATTCAATTCAGGTGCGACGAGCAACCAAACGACCTCCTATTTGTCGCACCCTTCCAGTTCGGCGCCGTGAATTTTCGACTATTCAATCGGATCAATCCAAAATCACAGATCAATTCTTAGTCGGACCCTTCCACCCTTGTCCCTTTGCGTCGTTCGTCTTGTCCTCCATCGCTATCCCTACGCGCCACACTAACCTGTATTCGACTTGTGCCACAGCGGCGACGCTATCTCCGTTACTCCCGCACACCGTCGAGGACGGCGGCGTCTGTCGATGACGCGAGCCCTTGTCAATTCTCGACTTCTGGCATGACGCATCTCTCGTCCTGACCCTAAAATGTCACTCGCGCTCCCCACGGGCCACGCCCCTTGTTCATATCGGATCCTGCTAGCCCGCAACTCTGACTGCATGGCATCTCTGCTCCTCATCTCTCAACGGCCATCCAGAATCACATCCGGAAGTAATCATCTCGACTCGGAAGTAATTATCAAGATCCACGTTGATCCAGAGGTACGTATAAACCTGGTGCGGCGATGTTGACATCTAGCGCATCCCACACAGCTGATGGTGTGCCGTGCTGCTTTGGGAATGTCTCTCCTATTTCGGTGTCTGCCGTCCTATTTTAGGTCCGCGTGGGCATCGTCTCAGGCATCCTAGGGCCTCTTGACCGCATCGCTCTACATTATACATATCATCTGCCACATACGTATCCCGGGTTCCCATCGCATCTTTCGACGCAGGTATCCCATTCCATCCTCTCCTTCAAATTAACATCTTCGCCTTTAAATTAATGTCCAAAGCCTCGTCGTGATCGAATCGGACCGGAGGGCTCAGGCTCAGGTTCACGTGCGCACCACGTTACATTCTAGCGCTCAGTACTTCCTGGCCGCTACCTCTATCACCGCAGACGCAGCTTGGCGCCCTCGGGCGTTCCCTTGCGAGAAGAGCGGTCCGCGATACCTATCACGGGAGAACTTCTCAGATATTCACGCAAGAACTTCCAGGAACTTGTCGCCCAACACGTCTGACTATCACCTCCAAATCACCTGACCCCGAGACCCGAACACCTGGCCATGGTGCAGATTCGTAGATTCGTCGCTATCCAAAGCTCACACCGAGTGAGTCTTCCGTTCCGCTAATCCGACATTTATTTTTACACAGTTTGAAATTGAGCACCCATCCTGCTTGAATTCAGGTATGAGAACTCGGACGTAGTGCACAGCGCACACCCCCCACGATCCGCTTGGGCCTTTAATGCGAACGGGAAGCCCGGGTTCGACTCCCGGCGTCCGAATACCAGTCTGAGAAAGTTGCTTTTTTGACTGCGTTTCGTTTCCCTCCACGTCCTCGCTGATTGAATAAAATCCTTTTGCAACTGGCGCCCTCCCGCAAGACATTGACCATTTCAAGGTGACCTTCAATTCCTATTCTCCCCTGGCATGCTGATTGTTCTCTCCTAGTACACAGCCTGGTGCATAGGGCATATAGGAACTCGGACGTGGTAAATGGCGCATACCTGCTTTCCATCAACAAGAATGTGGAAGGATATGCGGGAAACCCGGGTTCGACCCCCGATGTCCGGATTACTCTTCTGCGTTATACTTTTTGTCAGTCCTGACTACTCGTTGAATTTCTCTCATACGCGCGCAGCTTCTGTCTTATGCGCGTGCTTGAAGCTCTGCTCTGCATATACCCTACCCTTGGAGCTCCGGTCTGCACATATTCTTAGCGCTCTACCCTGAGGACGAGATCAAGGTGAATTTCATCTCTAAGTTCATACTACGATTCACGCTTACTTAGCCTGATGCACAAGGGATACGGGAATTCGGACGTGGTGTATGGTGCACACCCGTTGTTCATTGATGCCAGAGCACCTTCGATCTGCGGGAAGCCTGGCGTCCGAATGCACTGGTTCTCACGAACTCTTTTTTTATCTGCAAGTGTGTGTAGAGACCCTTCTTTCCCATTCTCTTTCTCCGCGGTACAGAAATTCTCTGTTCAGCTGGCGCTTTCTAGTGAATATATGGAAAAATTGGAAGGTGAGTTTCATTTGCCGGTAGGTTGAAGATTCGCTCTTATTTAGCCGGGTACAGATTGGGGATGGGAACTCGGACATGGTGTATGGCACACACCCGCCTTCTGTACCGTGATCATTTTGAGGGTGCGGGAAACCCGGTTCGACTCCCGGCGTCCGAATTAGTCCTCCTTCAGTACTCTTTTTTTTTCAGTCCGTGGCGAATTTCTTTCTGGTCTCATGTTGGACTTCGTAGTCTCAATCTTATTGTGGGAGGTTCAACAGGCCCCCGGCATATGCGGTTGTATGTCCGATCCGAAATCCCGTATTTCGGGCGTTTCCGTCCGTGCCTTTTTGCGCCAATTCCATACGCATTGTGATCAGGTAGACCATTTTTCGTCGACTTCAGTGCGCATTCCCGATCGGACATTCTGCTGCGAGAGGCACCCTTTTTGGCATGTTGGGGGGACTTTTTTCAAAATTTTCGCGGAGCGTCTACGATACCCCGCTGGGGCTATACGTGCAAAATTTGGTGGCTAGAGTTGGGCTGGGGCGTGCGCATAAGGATCGGACCTCAGGGCGACCAGCTATGTTCTGTCCCTACTTTGGATCAGACATTGAGCACATTTTGGCCCAATATGTCCGCACTCTGATGAGACATAGAGGCCATTTTTGACCTAAATCCGTCAGCGTCGGACATACAACCGTATATGCCGGGGGCCTGGTTCAACATCCGAAATATTGTTCTGGGAGGTCAAACATTTGAGTATTTCGGGGGTCTGGTGAAATTGACGCGGTAGGCGCGGCACTGACGCGCATTGACGCGGTAGTGACGCGCTGTGACGCGGCGTGATGCGGAATTGACGCGGCGACTGGCGCGCCGCATCTCGCGAGTCACAGGTTGGGTCCTTGGCCCCGGAACCTCTTTTCCCAAGGTTCACTCATCCAAATCCATGATTTGAGGCCAAAAAGTCATCATCCAAATTTTGACTAATTAGTGCTAATTAGTCTCAGTTATCGTTGTCTGGTTCACCCGGCAGCAAAATAAAAATATAACTGTACTACTATTACTACTATTACGCCACATCTTACTCGTTTCCCCACCCCAAGTACCATACGCCGGACGTATGGCAGGAGTATACCTGTACTAGACCCTGAACACAAAATTTGGTCAGTGAAGTCCGTCCATTCTCCGAGTTATTATTCTTCGGATAACATGTTCCCGAATTCAAATCAGTCCTTGAACGGAAATTGGATACACACTGAAATACCACCCAAAATTGCTAGCTGCAGAAGTCACAGATCCTGACAAGGTCTAGTGAAAATAACGGGTAACATTGAGTTGTCCAGTACACAGATTAACTCGATTTCACCTAGAATTCATGTAGCAGTGTCTCCTGGATCTTGCAGAGATGGATTGGAGCTCCAGCCACTGGAATCAAAATTAAACTATCTATAGCCTGGGGCTTCTGAAGGATTATACACAACTTCCTCGACTCCGAAACGTGGCATAACACAGGCTTCTTATTCTTTGCCAAACAAAAAAATTAATCGACCCACTATAACGATAGGTTCTAGATACACGAAGAGTTCTACAAATGAATGGGTTGAATTTGAGTTGAACAATGTAAATTGAATCTTAGATGAGCTACAAAGGAGATCATTTTTTTGAAAACGACCACAGTAAGTTCAAATTGAAGTTAACCATCGCTGGAACTACCCCAATTGGAGAGGCATTTGAATCTTTTAATTACAGCGGGATTTATTGAGCAACAGTATCTCTTTCCATCAATCCAATGAAAGCCTCGATTTAAAACGAATCCTGCATCGGGAATTCCCAGTCCCAAATGTACTAGGTGAAGTGCCCCCCTTTTAAATATGATATATGCAGGGTTGGAAATATTTAGCGAGTGCAACCATCGAGAAGAACACCCAATTGTGGGTTCTCGCGAGGCCGCTTTGATGTCAGCTTTTAGAACTCCAAGTACCCGTCTCGGTGGCGACATTGAAGAGGTCTGAGAAGACAAGAACCTACCATTTGCACAACCAAAAAGCAAAGACATAAAGCGAGGACAAAACTACCAAGGGAGGACACGGATCCATGCCCTGTGCTATCCACCGCCACACTGGAGAAATACAGCCAATGACCATTGGAATTCAAGTTGAACCAAGTGCACTGTAGAATAAATGGAATACCTAGGATGAGGGCAATCAAACCTACCCAGTGACGGTCCGGAACTAGAAATTTGATTCTGAACAGACCATACAACCTCGGAGTGCAAGGATCCGCGATCCACTTAAATTTCAGACAGGACGCACTACTTATATTCTCAATGGCTAATCGGGTGCCTTGCGCTGACGAGTGGACGAGAATGTTGGAACTATGGTTGAGTACAGCGGGCAGCAAGTTAAATAGATACTGAAATTAAGTGGATGCATGCTCGAAGGAGATTGATGTGTCGAATTTCGAATAGCAACATACATAAGGACCCTACAAATTTCATGTGGAAGCATGTCCCAAAGATCCTGGGAAAGAAACTTACTGGAAGAAAATGCAGAGGTTGAGAGTATGATATCCACCAGCCATTCGGGCTGTTGTACCAAATCAAACAGTAATCGTTCTCGGTGCTCAATAATACACGTGGATTGAAGGCTCGAGGATCCTATGTATTTAATCTCACAGGTGTGGACTCCGAACCGTGAGAATCGTGAGAATCCATCTCCAAGTACACATTGATCCCTTGGCAGATAACGATCCCTGGGGAAATAACCTTCAAATTTTACCCTGTACTTTCCGGACTAGCGTACCAGCACAGACTGTGTGCCAATTCTGGGAGCCGTGAAGATGAAAGGAGTCTCGTCTCCTCTCATGATTTATTTTTTTCCACTTGGGCAATTACACGCACGCTACAGGCGATTTTTCGCGGAGGCTGTGATTCTCTGGGAAGGTGTTCTTGCAGCATCCAACCTGCTGCAGTGATTATGGAAGATAGGTACTGTACACTAAACGAGAATGTTGTACACAAGAATCTAGGATGTTATCCAGTCGTGCCCTGGCAACGATGAGTCCACGAGGAATGATTTTGAAACACTGCTGGGATACCAAATGTATCTAGACCATGAGCAGAGACCCGCAAGGTGAAAGGGACACTGGCGCGCATTGACGCGGCGGTGGCTGTGTTGACGCGGCGTTGACGCGCATCGGCGCGGTGTTGACGCGCATTGACGCGGCACCGGCGCGCATTGACGTGGCACCGGCGCGCATTGACGCGGCGGGTGACGCGGCACTGACGCGGCGATTGATCAGTTTCGAAGGCCTCAAATGACCCCAAAACATCATTTTACATGTTTAAAAACGTTGGGAGGTTAATCCAGGCTGAAAAAATGACCAACTGAACTAAATAACTGGATGCTTCACCCGAATCAAGTATATACTGGCCTTGTATAAGTCTTGTTTAGTGAACTAGAGCTTACCTGACCACTCCTGCAGGTGATTTACATGTAGTATGTACTGTAGGAACACCAACGGCAAGTTAAAAACATGCCGCGTCACGCCGCGCCGGTCCGCGTCAGTGCCGCGTCAATGAGCGTCAGTGCCGCGTCAATTTCTCCGGACCGAAATTGCTTGGTCAAGAGGTGGGCGATCTCGTTATCGCGCAGACACATCAAAGCACGTGCCGCACCTAAATCCGGACATAACTCCGAGATGCAGTTAACATAGAGAGCCCCAAAAATAAGCCAAGGCATGGGAGACTGAATGAATACTTGATATGCATTAATAATGTCTGCCTGAGGTATCTTGGGCCGATTTGTAGCTTAGATTGTGAGTACATTCTCGGAGATGTGTCCCAATTTGGGGGGGGGGTCCATTCACGTGCTTTGATGTGTCTGCACGATAACGAGATCGCCCACCTCTTGTGCTTGGTTAACAAGAGTTTTTGTCAGTCGGCGGCGAATTTCTTTCTTTTCGCGTGTTCACGTTGGACTTGATACTCACAATAACCACATTCGAGGAGGTTCAACATTTCAGAGTCCTATTTTAGGTTCAACATTTCAGGGTACGAGAAGTTCAACCGTATTCTCTCCTGGTCCCGGCTTGATTCTCTCATACTCACCCGGTTTCGGATTGGGCATAGGAAGTCGGAAATGGTGCACGGCGCACACTCGCTTTGCCTTGCACTTGAAATGGTAAGCATGAGAAGGTGGGAATCCCGGGTTTGATTCCCGGCGTCCGAATTATGGTGCAATCAAAGCCTTTTATTCGTTTGAATGGGACCTCGTGTGTGGAATCTGCGCTTAGTGTTGGATTTACTCATAATCTTATTCAAAATGTAGGAGGTTCATGCATATATATGACTGTCAGACCTTGAAGATTTCAGGCCGCCTAAAGATCAATAGACAGGTTGCGCAACAGCCATTGGAGCCATCTGATGGCTGATTTGGCGTGCGCAAATGGATGGCTGGTGGCTCGAATGGCTGAATACCTGAACTCATTTTCTGGTGAATCAACCAATTTGGAAATACTGGGGACTATATGCAGGCTGGCGATCCCTTCCACACTTACGATTGGCTGATGGGAGGCAAAAATATGTTCATTTTGATGGAATTGGTGTTCTGACAAGGTTGGGGGTCATTCTGTGAGATGCACCTGCATCAGTACTCATTCTAACACCCAGAAATGAGTTACCTTGCTTTAGGTTCATCAGCCATTCGAGCCACCAGCCATCCATTTGCGCACGCCAAATCAGCCATCAGATGGCTCCAATAGCTGTTGCGCAACCTGTCTATTATATCACTGTCTGAATCGCTTCCAGCAGAAATATATCAGTACAATTCCAATGGACTTGGAGACTCTGAGACTCACTTGGTGCTCATGTCTGATACCAAATTGCAGAAGATGAGGGGTGCAGACAAGAAACTAGGAAACAATTGGAAATGTGACGGATTCAACCACAGGAAGTAATGGAGGAAATTTCAACCTAGCTAGGTTGAAGTGTATATAGGTTGATTTCACGGCCGGATGAAAGCTGGGTAAAGTAAACCATATATAGGTTGAAATCCGTAGGTGGTTTCTCAACCTACCATTTAGGTTGAACTAAATCAACTTAAAGGTAACTGATCATAGGTTGAAGTGTATTTATCAACCTACTGCTTGTTGAAAATCCACCTGCTACAGCTCCATAGTGTGCACAGCGCACACTCTCTGTGTGCGAACATCATTGACTCCCGACGTCCGAATTACTTTTCTGACCGGGTTTTAGATGCGAATTTCATTTGTGTGTGCGAGTTGGGCTTCGGACTTCTACTGATATCGTTTGGGGAGGTTCAACAGTATTTTAGGTTCAATATATCAAAGGCAACGTGAAGTTCAAACCTATTGCCCTTTGGAGTGTATGTGCTCCGGAGTCGCTTACTTAGTCGGGTGCACATCCACCATATCACCTCGGACGTGGTGCACGGCGTACACCCGCTTTCCATGAGCTTTTCCGTCCACAGCCGGTGGGGATCCGGGTTCGACTCCCGGCGTCCGAATAGATGTGATACACATGTATATTTTTATGGGTACTCTAATATGGCACATATAGCGTGCAAAAATTATTGGCTGGTTACATTTCAGTGCAAGCAGGGTTTGGGTTGCAACTTGCAGCGAAACTACAAAAAAGCTTACAACTTGGATTTTGCAGACATCTTTTTTTTTGCAGTGGTTGCAAGGACTTCATTCAATGGGTCACACCTTGGAAGGCTTGCTTCTGGGGTGGTAGATTTTCAAATTTTTGATGTGGATGATTCGAGCAATAATGCTACTCCCGTGCCGAGATCCATAAATGGAAGTCGGCTGAATTCTCCGTATTGGAGCGCCATAGTGCACCAAAATAACTTCTCCTTGCATATAATGCAATGTTCCAATTGATACTTATGAATAACCATGATAGCAATGGGACCTTTATCCTCTGCAGCCCTCTTGGAAGTTCAAGGAGCAGAACATTACAATTTCAGTAGTTTCCAAGGATAATTTGCCAACATTGCTTGCCTCTGGTCTAAAAGATGGTTCTAAATTCGAAATGCATCATCTGGTGCTTCTGCAGGGCTCTCAGGCTCCTATTCACGGACATGGAGCAAACCGCCGAGTAGCCGAATTGATGCGGATCAAATACAAACACATGCAACTTTGGTAGATGTGAGCTGTTCATAGTTGTAAGCCAAGGATGAAGATGTAACCAACACGGAAAGATGTAACCAAAAGTGCTGGATTTTGAAGTAAGTTGCTGCGAAAACTCTGCAAAATTTCAGTAATTTTTGCACAGTATATCGCCCATACTCTAACATCGTGCCGCGCGCATTTTCCTCGTTGGTGCGCAGCGTGTCGGTAGTGTGCACGTATTTTGGACGGGAGGGGGGGGGAGGATGCAAGATTCTGGCCGAGGGTGCGCGAGATTCGGGTGAGCTTCGTTCATTCTCTTGTTACTGGGCCATGGCGACGAGTCAACCTTGTTTAGCCTGGTGCACTTTCAATACGGGAACTCGGACGTGGTGCATGGCGCACGCCCGCTTTTCTTGAGGTGCTGTCGGATTACGAGTATCTGCAGGAAACCCGGGTTCGACTCCCGGCGTCCGAATTGATCTGCCCCGACTACTTCTTTGGCCTTCAGCTTCAGTGCAGTGCCAAGCCCGGGTTTGACTCCCCACGTGTTTGTTGAAGCAGGCCCTTCTTTTGCTTATGGTCTACCTGTAGGGAGGTACGGCGGGAAGTGACGCTGAATTTGTGTGGAGTAGAATTCTCTCTCTCTCGCCTTTTTCAGTGGTTTCCTATTTATCGCACCCTTCCAGTTCGGCGCCGTGACTTTTCGAACTTGAACCATCCAATCGGATTCAATCCGGAATCACGGATCAATTCTTAGTCGGACTCACCTTGACCTTGTCGTTCGTCTGTCCTCCATCACTATCGCTATGCGCCACACTAACATGTATTCGACGTGTGTTACAGCGGCGACGCTATCTCCGTTACCCCCGCATACCGTCGAGGACGGCGGCGTCTGTCGATGACGCGAGCCCTTGTCAATTCTCGACTTCTGGCATGACGCATCGCTCGTCCTGACCCCTAAAATGTCACTCGCGCTCTCCACGGGCCACGCTCCTAGTTCATATCGGATCCTGCTGGCCCGCAACTCTGACTGCATGGCGTCTCTGTTCCTCATCTCTAAACGGGTCCAGAATCACATCCGGAAGTAATCATCTCGACTCGGAAGTAATTATCTAGATCCACGTTGATCCAGAGGTACGTCTAAATCTGGCGCGGCGATGTCAATATCTGGCGTATCTCACACAGCTGATGATGGTCCGTGTGGCTTTGGGCATGTCTCTCGTATTTCGGTGTGTGCCGTCCTATTTTAGGTCCGCGTGGGCATCGTCTCAGGCATCCTAGGGCCTCTTGCACCGCATCGCTCTACATTATACATACCACCTGCCACATAAGTATCCCGGGTTCCCATCGCATTCTTCGACGCAGGTATCTTATTCCATCCTTTCCTGCAAATTAACATCTTCGCCTTCAAATTAATGTCCAAAATCTCGTCGTCATCGAATCGGACCGGAAGGCTCAGGCTCAGGTTCACGTGCGCACCACGTTACATTCTAGTGCTCAGTACTTCCTGGCCGCTACCTTTATCACCGCAGACGCAGCTTGGCACCCTCGGGCTTTCCCTTGCGAGAAGAGCGGTCCGCGATACCTATCACAGGAGAACTTCCCAGATATTATCACGTGAGAATTTCCAGGAACTTGTCGCCCAACAACTGACTATCACCCCCAAATGACCTCACCCCGAGACCCGAACACCTGGCCATGGTGCAGATTCGTAGATTCGTCGCTATCCAAAGCTCACACCGAGCGACTCGTCCGTCCCGCTAATCCGACATTTATTTTTACACAGTTTGAAGTTGAGCATTCATCCTGCTCGGAATTGAGTATCGTGCTGCTCGAAATCAGAGACGTAGTGCACGGCGCACACCCCTCACCATTTCAACGAGAGCCTCTGTGCCAGCGAGAAACCCGTGTTCGACTCCCGGCGTCCGAATGACCGGGCCAAATGCTTCCTTGCCTCACTTGACATTGGGTCTATCCACTCATTATTATCTCTTCCTCAGCCTGGTGCACGTTCAGTAAAGGAACTCGGACGTGGCGCACGGCGCACCCCCGGCCTCCATGTGCAGAAAAAGATGGTGCAGCGGGAAACGCGGGTTCGACTCTCGGCGTCCGAATAGACCCTGAGTCCTCCTAGGACATTTTTTTCCCTCTTCCTTTGGCGGTTCATACTGCTGCCATTCTCTCATAAACATAGGTGCAGATTACAGACAGGGACTCGGGCGTGGTGCACAGTGCATACCCCGATGATTCTACTTTGGCCTCTGTGCCAGCGGGAAACCCCGGGTTTGACTCCCGGCGTCTGAATACCGGAATGACTGTGTTGCAGACTTTGTTTATGGTTAAAATGTCGTGCTTCTCGCATTCATCTCGGCTGCGCGCCATGTCTGCTTATACATATCATGGGAGTGAGTTGGACTTCGGACTTCTAGTAATTTTATTGCGGGGGGATCAGGCAACCTAAGGTTAGATCCTATTCGTTCTCTGCAGATCTGCTGGATTGCGCTGACAATTATATCTTACTTACCCAGGTGTACAGTGTAGATAGAACCTCAGACGTGGTGTATGGCGGACACCCGCGTGCCTTCTGGCGAACGATTTGTGTGAAGGCGGTGATAAGCCTTGCAGATAACCACTAGTGGAACACGCTATTTTTGCGCCTTTCAGTTGTGTTTGCAATGCATATTATCTTATATCCAGAACTAGTACCGAGACTCAGGGGTAGCTGGCTGGGCCAAGATCACAGAGTAACGGGTCATCAAGGGGGTAATACGTCGAGGTGACTGGCTGCACTCGCCCTGAAACGTGTAGGGGTTTGTGTAGTCCGCTAAACATCATGAGTAACTTCATATTCAATTGGGTTATGTTGGGTATAAGCTCAAATAACGAATTGGGTTGAATTGCAATACCGTTGTGACACATTTGGGTTTTAGAGAAGTGGACATTAGATCAGATGACGACCTAGAATACCGGCCGGACCTTGTTTCGGATTATACCCGACTATACCCGACGGGCTCAACTATATCCGTAGTTGCCGGCCTGATCGGAGATTCCCAAAGGGTCAGACTAGACTTCTACCAAGAACCCAATTATGGATATAAGCCATGAGGGGTATCGTTCGAAAGCTGCGACACTATACTACATGGTATAGGGATGCTAGCTGGAGGGGAACGAACAAGGAGTGCAGGATATAGGAATCAATCCTGTATCTGATGTCGGTTTTGGCGAATTGGAAATAAGCTCAGTGCTGACTGAGCTTGTGGCCTTTCAGCTGATTGCTGACTGAGGTTCTGTCTTGGTAGATGACTGTAATATGGCGTGCTCAAGACTTGCAGCCAATGGTGCCGACTGGATTCACTATACCAGATAACTATCCGACGGATACGCGGCTGTTTGACTCATATTCTCTTATATCTGCTTGTACTTATTTATTCTGGGACTTGTATATAAGTAGTAGGTTGTCGCTACTAGAAGGACACGGCATCACCCCACGACTAGTAGGCATACGCTTGCAATTCAGGGCGATCTGGGATCTTCTAGTTGTGCATTACCATATAGAAGGGTGTGGCATCTCGAAATCTTACTTTATTGAATGTGTATTTGAATCGGAATTATATGGGATACTAGAACACTGCCTTGGACGCCGGAACTGCTACTAGAACACTGCCTTGGACGTCGGATTGATACGAGAACACTGCCTTGGACGTCGGATTGCTACTAGAACACTGCCTTGGATGTCGGAATTGCTACTTTGGATTATATGCACACACACCACAAACCCCACGGAGTTGTAAACTCACCACACGCTCTTGGGTATTGCACCTATCGTCTCCGGACACTCAACCTTGCCTGGGCTATTGCCCTGTCGCTGTGAAGCATTGTAATATCTACCGTTTTGGATATATCGTTTTGCACAAGCAAGCAATATCTCCACAACACAGTACTCTACACACTTTCTCCTACCCAAAACCTCTCCCTTCAACCTTTTAAAGGCTCTGAAGCAGGGACTGACACTCGTCGGTTTCTACTGGGAATCTTATGTCTTATATCTTGCACTTCGTTGGACAGTTTCATAGGCTTTTGCTTATATCCGCAAACTTTGTGATTGGGTATAAACGTTTCGAGTTTCCCTACTAGTTTACGAGCACACAAATCAGCGGGAAGCCCGGGTTTGACTCCCGGCGTCCGAATGCCCGTTGCAGATTGTCAACAAATCTTTTTATCATTCGCATGGGAGCTTGTTTCTCTGTTTTTCTCGTCGCTAATCTCATATGGAACATTTCAGGGTACACAAGGTTCCACCCTAGTTATTCTCTGGATTGTGCTGATGATTATCTCGTATGTGTACAGGTACGGATCAAGGGGAGGAACTCGGACGTGGTGTGTTCGATGCACTGAAAGCAATACTGCAGCAGGAATCCCGGTTCGACTCCCGGTTTGGGTGACAGCCCTTTTTTCCCTGCGGGCTGTTCCCCTGTGTCTGTTGACGAATACTTTTATAATTCTCATGGGAACAGGTGTGGAATGCGGAATGTATGTTTAATGTTGGATTAGTACTCCTACCGATCTCACTTAGGAGGTTCAATATTTGTAGTCTCATTTTAGGTTCAAGATTTCAGGCAAATGTTCGACACTATTTTCTGCTGAATTAAGCCGACGATTCAATCTTATTTGAAGAGATGCACGTTGAGTATAAGAACTCGGAGGCGGTGTGCGGCTCATGCCCGCCCTACATGAAGTTCGACTCCCGGCATCCGAATTTTTGGATACTCGGTTGCGTTTTGTCATTCACGTGTGGATTCGCAAATGTCTCTTATTTCGGGCTCAAGGTGGATTCGTGCTCTCACTGATCTTATTTTAGTATGTTCAATGTGATCCCTGCTCGATTCGCTCTTACCTAGATTGTTTCACAGGGTGTAAGAGAACTCGGACGTGGTGTGTGGCGCACGCTCATTTTCTGTACGGATGTCTGAGATTGCGCGGGAAGCCCGGGTTTGACTCCCAGCCTCCGACTCGTCTTGGATGAAGACAGATTTTGTCTTGCGGCTTGGAATTGCTTTCTTGTGCGCGGGTTGAACTTCGTAGTGATAATAATATTGTTTTGGCATGCACAGCTCTGATTTTACATAGGTCCAAGATCTCAGACCACGGAAGGTTCAATCCGATTTGTTTTCTGCTGGATTGTGCGGATGATTCTCTTTCACTCGACCAGGTGGCCATGCAGTCTAACCATTCGAACATGGTGCACGGCGCACCCCGCTTTTCTTTAATGTGTATATAGAAGGATATACAGGAAACCTGGGTTCGACTCCCGGTGTCCGACCTAAATTGAAGATCTGTTGACATATTTATCTTGATCTTTTGCTTTTCTCGAGTCCTGCTAATCTTTGCTTGGCGAATTTTTAGATTGCTCTCCGTGCTCGCTGAAGATGACTGGCAGCTTCGGGTTCCCAAGGACCAGGTTGATTTCCGCATGCAGCTGTCGGATCAATTCGGCGATCAGTCTTTATTGTTCCGAGTTAGTTCCTTCTCACTTGTCATTTTACCGCCGACGCGCTCCTAGGCGTTCCTCCGTTTCGATCTGCCTCAGTTCAGCCTCAGTTCAACGCATGGCTCGCATTCGCATCGAATCTCAACGAGTTCCCTTGCCAAATTATGGGAGAATGCCACGTCACGTATGCTCATATTTCGTGTTGGTGCACGCATTCGTCTGTCCCAATCTGCAAAAAGATGACGGAATACGACTTAAGCGAGGAGGCGTACATGCGACACCTCGACACCCAGAACCGCATCACAAACTGGGCACACACGACCAACCACACGCCCCAGGCCGACCCCTTCGCTCCACCCCCGCCGGCGCACCCGTCCTTTTACCCCGGCCCCAGCGGCGCAGCACGCGTGATTTGTCCGACACCAACGGCACCGCTTCCTGCCGCCGCCCATTCCCGCACCGCGGCCGGTCGCACCACGCTCGCACACCGCGCCCCCAAGAGGCGACGTCTACGGTGTCCAGGGCGCACCCCCGTTCTACCCCGCGCCCCCGCAGCCACAGCCCTATTACCCCCAACCGCCCGCCGGCTACTTCGCAGTACCCTCTTCCCCGCCGCCACAACACCGCCGCACACGCTCGAGCTCGCACGCCCCCGCCCCCGTACGCCCGCAAAACACGCGCAGCTACTCGTAGTCCCAGCTCCCCCCGCCGCCGCCGCAGTACGTCTACCCGCAGCCCGGCTACGGCGGGCAGCCGGTCTACCCGAATACCAAGGCCATGTCGCCCGTCTATGCCCAGCCGCCGCCGGTGCAGATCTTCAAGTCCTCGCCCGTGTACGCGTAGCCCGCGCCGCCGCCGCAGCGCGAGGTGCCGCTGCTCCGCCGCGTGCTTGGGTTTGGGTTTGGTGGAGGGGGGAAAGATAGTCGGAATGGGAGTCGGGGTAGTAGTAGGACAATGGATGGAAGGGACTCGAGGGATCGGAGTCGGGAGAGCAGTCGGACGCGGGAGGTCATTGGGAAGGAGCGGAGGCCGAGGAGGGGGGATTCGTATTGAGGTGTGCCACCGTCTTCTTTTTGGCGGACGTTTGCCGTTCTCTATCCCACTGCGGCCACCGTTCTGTGCCCACTCCGTACCCCACCTTCCCACTTTCTCCGTCCCCATCACACTTCACATACCCCACCAATACGCCACATCTCTTCCACCTGCACACGTACGTACACAAAACACCCTATAATCACCACCTACATTCCCGCTGTATTATATATCCTATCCACTTCCATCCCGACATCCTGGTTGTTGTCGGTTCCAACGTTTCGGTCTAATGTGTCCTGAGTTCGTCCGCGGAGGTGGGTCATCCTGCATCGGTCCCTCGGTCCCTTACTTCGTGTTTCTTGTCTAAGTTGACATTGTCTCAATTCTCTCTGTGTTGCGTTTGCTCCCTTCGTTGTGTGCGTCTTCTCCCTTCTTATCTTTGTGACATGTACCTCTTCTCTCTACCCGTTCCCATTACGTTCAAATTCCTTGGTACTCATGGAATTCCTCGGTGCTCAGGGAATTCCTCCGCATTCGTTCTTCCAAATCCTGCGCATTGACATTGACATTCTTTCCTTCCCAATTCGCCCGACCTATCCAGGTACACATTCCCTATATCACCTCGGACGTGGTGCACGGCGCACACCCGTTTTCTATGTCGAATAAGAGATAGTGTGTGGGAAGCCCGGGTTCGATTCCCGGCGTCTGAATGGTCCTCTAACAAGCTCTTTTTTTTCAGGCGGCCAGGCATTTATGTCTGATTTTGTGTTGGAGGAGGAGAAAGGACCTAGGTTTTCACGAGATCCGCCGTCGTGAGCTGAATTCTCAACCGTTTTCCTTGGGAGTATGCTCATTCGATTCGGGCAGGAAATCCGCAGGGCGTGGCACCTTTCGATTTTGCCTGACCATCTCAAGACGATTTGTTGGGTCATGTTGGGGTGTTTTTCGCTGTCTGAGGGAGAACAGGACCCATAGTACCAATAATGCTCCAATTGACCTAAACTTTTGATATGATGTATTTGAAGATATTACGGAGGGCCTAGAATACCGGGATAATGAATGTGACCCATCCTCCAAATCTATAGCTCAGAGGAGAATTGGCTTGATATTGTGCTTGCCCAAGTGTATGATATATTTGAAGGATGGGTCATATTCACTATCCCAGTATTCTAGGCCCTTCGTAATACTTTCAAATACATCATATCAAAAGTTTAGGTCAATTGGAGCATTATTGGTACTATGGGTCCTGTTCTGCCCTCAGACAGCGAAAAACACCCCAACATGACCCAACAAATCGTCTTGAGATGGTCAGGCAAAATCGAAAGGTGCCATGCCCTGCGGATTTCCTGCCCGAATCGAATAAGCATACTCCCAAGGAAAACGGTTGAGAATTCAGCTCACAACAGCGGATCTCGTGAAAACCTACCAAAAAAAAAAAAACGGGCCGCACCTTATGTTCCGCAAAGAGCTGTAAATGCCAGTCTGACGACAGATGGCTCAATAATTTCCGTCTCTTGATGGTGTCGGGGAGCATTTCTCGATTGAGAAGATGTTGTGCGCTCGGGAGTTGTCCAATATAATACTGGGAGATTTTCAGAGGCCATACAGCCGCATCATCGATCAGATGGCTACAGCCGGTATACGACATGTTCTGCACTCCAACAGTCACAAACACCCCAAACATGCCCAGTAAATGGACACAGGGTGCATACTAGAAATTGCAAGATGCCAGGCCCTGAGGATTCCCAGTGTGAATTGACCGAGCATAATCCCATGGGAAATGGTGGAGAATTGACCCCAGGGCAGCTGTTCTGGTGAAAACTTACTAAAAAAAGAAGAAGAAAAAAAAGGCTGCACCCTATGTTCTGCAATGAGCTGTATGGCAAACATAGTCTGCAAAAAGTATTTACATGTTCAGCACTAGAAACCCAAGACAACTTTCATTTTGAGATCCAAATTTGAGACAACTTGTGAAAATTACAACTTTGAAGTAAGCACAACTTGAATTCCTGGCTGACAACTTTCAACCATGACAACTTTGAACTAGAGCAACTTGAAAAAGTTGCAAATGCAACTTCAATGAGGCCTTTCCCCATAGGAGGCAACCACGATTTGAGCAGTGAGAAACCTCTAAACCCACCTGTGATAACTTAGACCACATTCAGTTGCAACTTTGAAGTTCTCTATAATGTGGCTGAAAGGAAATCCACCCTATCACTGACCTGGGGGCCATTGCGAACATTCCAGATAGTGGCGACAAGCAAAGTAAAATCAAGGCGTTAAACGGAGGCCATGGGCATGGCAAAGACAGTGTAATTCTATTTCTAATAATTTACAGCTCTTTGCGGAACATAGGGCGCGGCCCGTTTTTTTTTTTTTGGTAAGTTTTCACGAGAACAGCCGCCGTGGGCTCAATTCTCAACCATTTCCTTCGGGAATATGCTCGGTCGCTGCGCGCTGAGAATACGGAGGGCCTGACATCTTTCGATTTCTTTTATGTATCCCACGTTCATTTACTAGGTGAGTTTGGGCTATTTTTGGCTGTCAGAGTGCAGAACATGTCGCACGCGGGCTGTAGTCATCTGAATGTTCTAAATTTTTGATACGATGGATTTGAAGGTATTATGGAGGGCCCAGAATACCGGGATAGTGAATGTGACATCTCTTTCAAATCTATAGCTTGGAGGAGACTTGACTTGATATTGTGTTTGCTGATAGATTTGAAAGAGATGTCACATTCACTATCCCGGTATTCTGGGCCCTCCATAATACCTTCAAATCCATCGTATCAAAAATTTAGAACATTCGGATGACTACAGCCCGCGTGCGACATGTTCTGCACTCTGACAGCCAAAAATAGCCCAAACTCACCTAGTAAATGAACGTGGGATACATAAAAGAAATCGAAAGATGTCAGGCCCTCCGTATTCTCAGCGCGCAGCGACCGAGCATATTCCCGAAGGAAATGGTTGAGAATTGAGCCCACGGCGGCTGTTCTCGTGAAAACTTACCAAAAAAAAAAACGGGCCGCGCCCAATGTTCCGCAAAGAGCTGTAATGACCTCAAGGCAAACTACACCATTTGCAAATATTCCAGAAAGTGGAGACGAGCAAAGTAAAAGCAAGGTGTTAAATGGAGGCCATGGGCATGACTGAGACAGTGTAATTTTACTTCTAGTAATTTAATGACCTCAAGGCAAAACATGGACCAGCTCCACCCAAATATTCGGTCAGAGATTATGAACCTAACGAGAGGCTATATATAAATTATAACAGACCCCTCAGAGGTTTGATGAACAATAGATAATCAGCTCACAGAAACAGCTGAGCCACCCCATATTGCCTTAGCCTGAAGAGAAACAGTTAACAGTTTGGATTACTCCTAATGCCAAATTCCCGGAGAGATGATTTATTCCGTAAGCTTTGCCCTGTGGCGGATGTTCGAGAGCCTTTGTGGGAAGAATGTCAGGGCAATGAAAATATTACTAGGGTGATCTGAATTTCCTGATGATGGGAATCATTCTCTGCCATGAACAGGCCTCATCAATTACATTCTGAAAATCATTGGTCAAAAATTCTGCTGTAATTACAGCTATTCTCGAAATTAATGAGATCAATCATTTTTTTTTTTTGAGTTCCCAAAAAGGAAGGTCAGCTCACCTAGGTCCAAGGCATCACTCTTTTGAGTCTGGAACACAGCTAGTAATACATGGGGGTCTCTAGGAGGGTTCAACAATGAGATCCAAGCGACGGGGGTCTGACAGCGGCCGAACTGGACCGATTGGCGATATGCACACGTGACCCCATCGCTGCCGCTTTTCTTTCCTCATGCACCCTGCAAGCAGTGTTTCTCCACTGGAATGTTGAAATATAGGATGTCAAAACTTATCCCAGCGTTCCTGACTGTGACAGTGAAGGTACAGTAGTACTTTCCCCAGAACCTTCCTTTTTGGGAAAGCAAAAAAAAAAATTGATCGGTCTCATTAATTTTGAGAACAGCTGTAATAAAAGACCAAAGTTGTTTGGCAAAGAGCAGGTCAGGTTGTACTCCACAGAAGTTGCAGCTGACTGAAGTTGCGCTGTGGGGGTTCAACCAAATTTGGAGTTGTAAGTTGTAACTTTTGAACGTGTCCAGTTCCTCAAAGCTGTTTGTGGAGTTGCTGTCCACTGAAGTTGCAGAATCTGAAAGTTGCAGTGACATGAAGTTGCATCTGGAATGCAAGATGTAGTTCAAGTTGTCCGAAGGAAGTGAAGTTGCGAATTTTTTAGGGAATTTTTGGTGAGTTGCCAAAAATACTTTTTGCAGGCTATATCGCCCATATAGAGCTGTAACAAATTATCTTCAAGTTTGGCGCAACTGGCGCCAATCGTCTGGAAGATTGACACCAATATGTCACAGTGCCGTCAGGTCATACATTGACATGACGCCAACTAGCGCTAGATTGACGCTGCCTAACTTTAACTGACGCCGCTCAACTTGCACATTGACGCCAACTGACGCCTAAATCCACCTCACACCATCAACTTAGAGGCCATTGCATTGGTCCACATTAGCTCTCATTGGAGATGATTCTGGGAAGTACAAGCAGCGGTAAGGCTTTTGGCACTTGGTACACAGACGGAAATATCCAATTGACGCCAACATTGACGCCAACTGACGCCGTGGCGTCGCGACAGCACTTTCATTTTGCCCGGACGATTCTGAACTTGTTCCATTCGTCTTGTCCTCCATTGCTATCGCTACGCGCCACACTAACCTGTAGCCATACCGGCGACGCTATCTTCGTTACCCCGCCCACCGGCGGCATCTGTCGATGACGCGAGATCTTGTCAATTCTCGCCTTTTGGCTGCTGGCATTACACATCCCTTGTCCTGACCCCCAACATGTCGCGAGCCTCCATGCCAGAACTCACCCGCACTTACCACGGACCATGCCCCTCGTTCATATCGGATCCGGATCCGGTTAGCCACAACGGATTGCATGGCATCTAAATTCCTGATAAGTACTCATCTCTCAACGGCCGTCCACAATCACATCGGAAGTACTTATATCGACTGGGAAGTAATTATCAAGATCCACGTTGATCCTGCACGAGATATGATGGATGGGAATGCAGAGGTGCGCCTAAATCTGGCGCGGCGATGTTAACATTTGGCGCATCTCACACAGCTGATGATGGTCCTTATGTCTGCCGTACTGCTTTGGGCATATCTTGTATTTTCGTGTGTCTGCCGCCCTATTTTGGGTCCTTTGTCTCTGCAGGTCAGGCACCCCAGCGTCTCTTGCACCGCATTAATCTACATACTACATCCTTCGATGCGGGTATCCTTCTGCTTCAAATTAATATTCAAAGCCGCGTCGTCATCGTATCGGGCCGGAAGGTGCGCAGCACGTGATATTTTAGCACTCAGTACTTCCTGGCCAGTATGTACTTCTATCACCGCAGAGCCGGACGCAGATTGGCGCCTCCGCGCGGCAATCCCGTGCGAGAAGAGCGGTGCGTGATATCTATCATGGGAGAACTTGCACGATATTATCATCCGAGAACTTCCAGGAACATGTCTCACTTCGCGCACATTAGTCGTCTTCCAAAGTCGCCCAAATCGGGTGAGTCGCACACAATCGAGTAAGCTTTAAATCAGACTCGGCATACAATCGGGTGAGCCTGTCGGACTCACACATACTGTACAGGCAATAATCTAGGTTTAG